CTTCCGTGATTGGACTGTGTGTCACTCCTGTTTGCCTCCTTCACTAGATGATAAAATTGGAAGCAGGGTTTGTGTAGTAGAAGTCCACTGCTTGTGTCTTTTCCATGTCCGTGGCCCTTTTTGGCAGTTGCACCCTGATTTTCCCTTCCCCGCCTTCAGTCCATGAGATTCAAATGACCCCACTTCCTGGCTCAGGGCTGAAGAGGGAATCTAGGCCTCGTGAATGAATGTTTGCCTCATTCTCACAGCCACAAGGATATTCTCCCTGCCCCCTTCCCAGACCACTGAGAGCCGCTATGAGATTTCTGTGGGGATGCAGGAAGGAGAGGCTCTCCTTTGTTGGAATTGCTAGTCTGGCTGCTGCAACCTGTTACCTTCTTGCTTCTATGTGGGGACAGTTCACTAGAAAATAAAGCCACAGCAGGAAGGCAGAGCTGGAATGGAATATGACCAATTTTAGCCTAAACTAGGGATCTCCTCACAATAGCTCAGTTCTTCAGTGTGTTTTATAATAATCATGGACAAGAAAATGGCAGGAATATATTTAGGAGAGGAAAGCAGATTAAAAAAAACCAAAACAAAAAAAAAATGGCTTCTTACTTAGGGAATATATACATATAGGTCACCTGGAAGCCAAATTCTATATTATTCAGTTTGATTAGTTGCCAAACTGATGGCAACGTTGGATTGGCTAAGCTGTGTGTGTATGTATTTTAACAGGCAGTTATGTACCTTGAGAGTCAGTTCTTTTCACACAAGTCCTCAATTTACTAATATGACCAGATTAAGAGCAGGCGAGTGTTGAGGATTGGGGGCTTTGACGATGAGGGAAGTTTGTCTACTGGCTTTTGGCATTGTTTCGTTGTGTAGCCTTAATCAACTTAGCTTATTGGAACCTCAGTTTCCTCACATGTAAAATACGGACAGTAACAGGTCACTTCCTGGCGCTGTGGTGAGGGCTAAATGAAATCACACACCTGAAGGGCTCAGCACAGTGCTTGGTACATCATAGGGTCAAGAAAGGAGCTTACATCTCTTTTTAAAATAGACATTTTATTTAAAAATATATTTATATATTTAAAAAGAACACATGCCAACTTTGGTATTTTAGCCGTTGCTACTTTTCTCTTCCTGGCAACCCACATTTCTTTCTGGTTCTGTATAGCTGAGCCAAGGGGACCAACATGAAACAACACCTCACGGGGTCCCCACAGAAAATGTATTCTTGGTCTTTTTATTTCTTTACAAAGCACCTCGTTGTGTTTCAGCAAGGAGGGTTTTAAGCACCCAGCGAGCACTGCCCTCTTTCCATCCTGGAGAGGAACCCTGGGGGCATGTAGCTTCCCTTCCTTTGGAAAACACCAGAATAGCATCCAGAATCCCCATGGTTATGCTCCCTTTCGGTGAACACCCAGGAGCTGTTAAGCCCTTTGTGGGAAACTCATATTGCCAGCAGGTGGTTACAAGAAGCATAAGAGACTTTCAGGAGTTTGTCTTAATTCCCAGGGGGAACTGCCAAATCCTAGAATCTGAAGGAACTTACTGGCACATTACTGAGCTCAATGAGTCCTCTTATGAGTTCCCTGGCAGATGCTAGCAAAATTCTTCCAAGATTTTTCTTGTCTTAAACTTATATTTCCATGCATAGTCTCAACCTAGCCTGGGGTCCTCTGGAAAATGTGGATTCTCCAATTGAACCCAGCTCCTGAACACACTGGAGCGGCTCTCAGCACCAGAGGCCCGTCTTTTCCCAGGGCCTGGATTTAGGGTTTATTAATACAATCTTTCTAATAAGGCACTAGCAATGTCAGCCTCTGCACCACCCTGAGGAGTTATGCTGGATTGATAGGAAAGCAAAGAGCTCAGACCCTTTTATGCGAAGTTCCCTGTCTCTGATAGCAAGCAGTGTGCCAGCTTGGGTGAGGAATGCAGCAAAACCCAAGGGGGAAGACAGTGCCTTCACATTGCACAGCTTTTCTGCTAAGGATGGAGGCTCAGCTTGGACACCCCGCCCCTGCAGTAAGTGTCCTTGTTGTCTAGAGAGCTTGCTCTGGAGAACGAGGATCAGTGGTAGGGTAAGATGTTTTCTTCTCCATCCTCAATTTTCATGGGTTTCTGTATCTGGAGATAAAAATAAGCCCTAAGATGCTCGCACATGTTTCACATGGTGGGAGATATTGAAAGATCTCCAAGTGATGTACTGCTGCTGCCTGGTCATTGAAAAAGGGACAAGAGCCAAGACCAGTTTGGCTCATTGGATAGAGCGTCGGCTTGGGGACTGAAGGGACCTGGGTTCGATTCTGGTCAGGGGCATGTACCTTGGTTGTGGGCATATCCCCAGTAGGAGGTGTGCAAGAGGCAGCTGATCGATGACTCTCTCTCATCGATGTTTCTAGCTCTATATATCTCTCCCTTCCTTTCTGTACAAAATCAATAAAATATATTAAAAAAAAGAAAAAGGGACAAGAAAAGAATATTAGTGTGGGTGATATCTCTTAGCTAAAAAGAGCCCTCTGTTTTCTCTTCTGGAAAAATGGGGACAGCCTTTTTATCATGGCTAAAAGGTTTCCGGTCTGAGGACTGGGAAATTCTCAGTATTCTTTCTTATAGCAGCTGCAGCTCCCCAGCCACTCAAATTCCGAACCAGTACTTAGCCAGTGTGGTATTGGATATCTGAGGATTTGTGTGGTTTGCACAGGTTAGATATCAAGTAATCATCTATTGGATGAGTAAATTTGATGCGGGAGTTTTCAGCCACACCATGATCTGTTTTTAGGAGAGCTGACAGAATTTAAATAATTTTTGAAAAGGACTGCCTCAGATGCTTGTTTTTAATTCGTTCTTTCTGTTCATATTGGAAATGAATACTTTGAAAGGCAAAGGTCTTCAGTTCTCAGACCCATGACTACATAGGTGGAGACTCTCTTGGTTTCCTCATTTATGGTGCAATCATTGCGTTTCTAAAGGATGACTTCTCATCTAAAAATGTGTGGTTCACTTCTCAACATGCAATGTCTTAGGTGAACTGGGAGGTTCACAGATCAGGAAGTTGGGTCCTTTTTTTATCCCCGATCTCCCTCCCTCCTGTTCTTTTTCCCCTCCCTTCCTCCCTCCCTCCCTTCCTCCCTCCCTCCCTTCTTTCCTTCCTTCCTTCCTTCCTTCCTTCCTTCCTTCCTTCCTTCCTTCCTTTCTTCCTTCCTTCCTTCCCTTCCCTTTCCTTCCCTTCCCCTTCCTTCCTTCCTTCCTTCCTTCCTTCCTTCCTTCCTTCCTTCCTTCCTTCCTACTCTTATCCTTCCCTCCCCCCTTTCCTCTCTCTCCCTCATAATACAATATATGTGTCATATCAACAACATCCTTAGAAACAGGGCTACAACTAATAAGCACTGGCTTAATGACAGCAGGCTTAATGACAGCAGTTGCACAAATGAATTTTCTACTCCTTTGAAAAGTCTGAACCTAAGCGACTACATCAGCATTCAAATGTCTGCAAATGTCTGCAGGTCTGCTGCCTCATGGGGTGCCAAGAGTATTAAGAAAACTACAGGTGGTTATTTTCAGGCCTAATATAATTAAGAAACATGAATGCTTCCATCTTTATAAGTCTCTGTACATCTTTTTATCAGGCCCAATTTGTCACCAAAACAGAGGACACAACTAAGAGCTTAACAGAACTTAAAAATCCCCTATAGAAAGACAGATGAATTAACATGAATGAACTGATCCATGGGGAGAGGCCAACTTCATCAAAATTTTCCAGATTACCCCCGGTTTTATCCCACAAATACACCATCTGAGCTATGAAGAGACAGAGTGAGTATGCTGTGTGGAGACTGTGGAAGGAGGCTGAGATCAATAACCCAGGGTCTGATCTGTGTTAAGTGTGTTGGTTTGTAGCAGCAAGTAGGATCCATCTTTTGTCAACTGTGAGGTGTGTATACCAGTACAAGGTAAAAACCTAAAAAGATCCCTAAAGATGCAGAAACTTGCAAAGTGCAGAGGCCGCCTAACCAAGTCTATTTCTTCAGATAGGACTACCCAAAGGAAGAAAAAAATAATTAACACTCAAGCCACAGCCTCAGAGGAAAGACACTATGAGTTTGTTTTCCAAAGGAAGTAAAGGGTGAGGAGGATAACGTACAAATCACACAACGTAACACATGGAAAATGTACTGACCAGCAAGCTTTGTTAAGATCCAAATAGAATTTCAACATCTGAGGAATAAACAAATGTGAGGAATGTGTTCATAAGGGTTTCTTCTCCATGCTTCATCTTCAAAGAAAATGTTGGTCATCCCCTCCACGCTCCCCTGGATTTTTGGTTCTGATGACCGACATAAAAGCAAAATTTACCGTGTGGATCTTTTAAAGCACAATGCAGATCAAGGAATGTAAAAAGATGTTAGTGTTCCTTTTATGCTTTCCAGGAGAGACTGGATAGCCATTTCCAGCTGCTAATGGTGAAGCTGTTCTGTCCTTCACATCCATGTCCATTGTCAGGATGAGCTTGTTCACAGTAAGCAAGTGGCTGTGAGTTATCGGCTGGAACCCTCAGTCACACACAGAGAGGCAATGTGTAGTCTGGTTGGTTAATTACAAACTCGTCGTGAGAAAGACCAAGTATCATTTCACAGCAGATTGAGGCTTAAAGGTTTTTGGTATAGATCTCTGTGACACTGCTTTACAAGATTCATACACACATGTGTATGTATCTATACACATGTATGTCTATCTGTGTACAGACATAGACACATACACACGCCTATATATATCTCATACACATATGCATGTGTGTGTGGATATATATATATATATATACACATATCCCCCACCCCTAATAAGCTCTTGCAGCTTTCAGAGTAGCAGTCACCAAAAACTCTGTTCACACAAGTTTTACAAGTTAACAAATGGAATGATTTCTAAATCTTTGGTTTAGAAAAAAAAAAAAGAAAAAAAAAAAGAAGAAAAAAAAAAAAGAAAAAGAAAAAGAAAAAGAAAAAAAAAAAAGAACTAAAACCACAACATTTTTGGTTATTTTCTCCATAAGTGCACAGTGAACAACATTTTTTTACAAAATAAGAAAACAGTGCCTTAGTGATTTAAATTAAAACAACAACAACAACAGCTACTTTCTACAGCATGCAACACTATGAAAACGGTGAAGTCACAGTGCACCTTGGGGAGGCTGTCCCCACAGCTGAGTTTTTCAACCCCCAGCACAAGCTTGAGAGGTAATGAGGAATGCACAAGACACCACTGTCTTTTCTTCCACTGTTTTCAATGCACAATTGTGTTTTCTTCAGAATTCCATACCTAAACACTCTCTCCTTGTGAATGTATCTCTACAATATAATGATTTCCAATTTCCCAAATCAATGATTGCTGTAAATCAAAGGAGGGGAGAATGAGCGTGGTGACTGAGGGGCCCAGTCACCAGCTTCTTCCTAAGGACATTCTTTTACCTTCCTTCTGCAGCCAATTATGCATATGGAGAATGAGTTTTCCTGGAAAACCTGAAATTCTAGCTTTTTGAAATGGCTTTCTTAGGAGTATGGCAGCTTGTTAGATCTAAGAAGCCTTTTCCCAATTTTGGGGCAGAAAAATAAAGATATATGAAAGAGGAGCAAGAAAGGGTTGGTTTCTTGAAAGAAAAGTTGAGCGGGAGGGAAAAAGAAACAAGACCATGCCCATTCCAGAAAAAGAAGTTGGGCCTCCACACACAGTCCTCTTACAGCAGCCTATGGTATTTATCCCCATGGTATGTGAAACAGCATTCTCTAGTGCGGTCTGAGTGATCCCTGATATGGCTCCCTGAGGCTAGAGCGGTCCTTTGTCTGCCTAGGACTAGGTGGTCAGCACTAGTCTTCGGAACTAAGGAGGGTTGTGTTGAAGAACCTCCCATGGCAAGAATTTCTTGCCTGTTTCACAATGCTTCCCACCACAGGGAGGGTGGGAGGGATTCGGCTAACTGGTTAAGAAAAAGGGAAGTTCCAGGAAGGGTTCTCTGCAACAATCTTGGGTCACTGTTTATCGGGGACCACACAGACTCCTGGGTAGGAGATTGGAAACCATTCCAATGGGGTCGCTATGTGGCCAAGGGACACTGAGTTGATTTTTCTTCTCTTGTAATGAATTGGTTCTGTCCCTCTATTCTGCCTCAAGAACTCTGTAACTGAAACTGGGCCTTATTTGTATTTTGAAAGACAGGTAATGGAGCTATGAGAATCAGCCTCCATCACAAGTGTGTCTTCTATAACCTTTGATAGATTGACTTCCCTGGACTCCCAAGTTTACATTTTCTTTCCACAGTTTTTCCAATAAATTCATGAGAACAGCTTACAAGGTGAGATTATGCCCCAACAATGTCTTAATTAAATATGGGTTAGAAAATATATTGGTGTTTGAAAAGGTAGTGAAAGATTTTTTTTTTTTTTGCATTCTTGATCTGAGAAAGCACATTTTAAGTGCATTGTTAAATTCAGCAACAGTCATTGAATGTTGGTAAATATGACAGCACAAATAGAGTATATATATATATATATATATATATATATATACTCTATTTGTGCTGTTGTCACAGAAATCTCCATTGCTTCTTTTAAATTTCCTCCTCCTCCTCCTTCCCCTCCTCCTGCTCCTCCTTTTGGATAATACAAATATTTGTGGTCATAGAATTCCTATTGGCCTTCCTTAGCATTTTTGTGTCAGGCATTCTACCACTGCTGTAAGTGAAGGTCCATGGGGGAATTCAAATTAAGATCTGTGACATCCAGAAAATCAATGTTGAAGATGCTAGGGCCACTGGTGGTGAGTGAGCTGAAGCTCGGTGTGGAACTTGGTGGCGTGAGGTCCAGCCACTCCATGGTTTCCCAGGGAGATTCTGTGAAGCTTAACTGCAGCCCACTGCTGTCCACAGAAGAAGGTGAAAACTGAGTGTGTATCGGGGAGAGGGGACCTGGCAAGATCTCGTGCGAATTGAAGAGGTCTTCTGCAGCCTTCCCAGAGAATCCATCCATTATGCCATCGAAAGAAGGCTCCTCACTCCCAATTTTTAGAAGGGCAACATCGCTCACCTTCCCCAAGGGGCTCTGGGAATTTAATAAGACTTCCAGGTGCTCATCACTGTCTGTGCCGTAGTGATCAAATGAGAGCTGGCCTCCTGAAGACGCTGGTTCAAAGGGAGCAGAAGGCTTGGGGAGGGCATCAGTAGGGCTTCGGGAAGACCTAGGCATCTTTGGGACTTTTTGAAGACACGAATGATCCTCTCTGGCATCAGCTGGCATTTCTGTTGGTAAAACACAATGGGAATTGTCAAATCACTTCAAACAGAGCATGAATCTTTGGGATGAATGAGTTACACTCAGATGCAGGAGATGGCTATGTTTCTCTGCTCACTGCTTACTACCGTCTTTCATCTCCAGACTGCTCTATACATTCCTATCCCCCTGACCCCACCTGCTTTCTCCTCACATGGTTTCTTTCTGGAAATTTCACTTAGTGTTTATCAAATTCTCAAAGCAGGCTCCTTTACCTGCTCATCACTGACACCTGTCTGTCCCCTGTGGACAATGCATCCTCGTTACACCCTCAGTGTGGGCTCCTATACTTTAAAGTAGAAAGTGAGTCTTCCTGCTGCCACTCTCTGACTATACTGCCCCAGCTTATAACTCCTAGTTTTCAAGATCATGCCGCTCTCCTCACAATCCTACCCCACAAGGCCTCCTCATCCACTGAAAACTCTATTCTCAGTTTATTGCCTTTTCCCCACTTCAACTCTTGTAATTTTCTGTGATTTCAGCATCCTCAGAAGTCACCCATTGCCCAGCTGGCCTCTCAGTTCCTTGACACCCCCATCACCCTCAACTTCAGTGATTCCTTCATTTTCACTCTGCTGGACACACCCTGGACCTTATCATTTCCAAATACTTTATCCCTCTGAGACACCCTGGACCTTATCATTTCCAAATACCTTATCCCTCTGTAACACCCTGGACCTTATCATTTCCAAATACTTTATCCCTCTGAAAAGCTCAATATCAAGCAAAATTTCTCACTCTCAGTGCATGCCCTCCTAGTCATCAAACTTACCCAACAACAACAATTTCTCAGCCACAAGGAGTCACTCTAATCTACAGACACCACTATTTTATCATCATTCATAAACCTCTTCTGGTTTTCACTTCTTTTATTTCCAATCTATATTATCTGGCCCACCATTATATATATATATATATATATATATATATATATATATATATATATATATATATATATATTACCCTAATATGCACATAGACCAAATGGCAGAACAACTGAACAACCGAACAACCAGTCACTATAATGTGCGCTGACCATCAGGGGGTGCATGCAGAACATGGTGAGTATCTGCAGTGGTGGGATGATGGAGCAGGTGAGTGGGGGTGCCAGACCAAGATGGGGTGCCAGTCACTGTCATTGGGGCAAGCCTCTGGTGGTTACTGAAAATTCTTTGCTCCCACCTGCTGTTGGCGCTGGCTCTGCTCACACCTGCTGCCAGAGCCACCACTCAAACCTGCCTCTGGAGCTCTATTTGCACCCACTGTCAGCACCTGGCATTGGCCCTAATTGGTCAGCACCGTCAGTGGGTGAGAGTGGTGGCTGCCAGCCCTGATCACCCCCCAGGACTTCTCCACTTCCCTCTGCTCCTGAAGGGTGATTGGGGCTGGCAGCTGCCTCTCGCACCTGCTGATGGCACTGGAGCCACCACTTGTACCCACTGCCAGTGCTGGTCCTGCTCATACCCACAGCTGGTACAGGAGCCGCTACTCACACCCGTTGCTGGTGTCTGGCACCAGTCTCGATCTCCCCTGAGGGCTTCTTTACCTCCCCCTGCTCCTGAGGGGCAATCAGGGCAGCAGACACCCCTCATACCTGCTGACTGTGCTGGCCCCACTTGCATCAGCTGCTGGTACTGGCCCCATTCACTTTGTACCATCAGTGGGTGCAAGTGGGGCTAGTGCCATCAGCATGTGGGAGCAGTGGGAGTGGGAGTTTGGCTGCCAGCAGAGAGGGGACAGGGGGCCATGGTGGGAGGGAACATGGAGGATGGACCGAGACCCACCCTTGTGCCCACCACAGCCTCATGGCCCATGGTTTTTTTTCAAGGTGCATGACTTTGTGCATTGGGCCCCTAGTTCTCTTATAAATACCCTCAATGTCTTTTCTCTCTTCTCCTTCCAATATTTTCCCATGGAAAAACTCCACACTTGGGTAAATCTTACCATCTATATTTTCTGAGCCCTGGATTAGCTGGACATTGTAAGAGAATAATTACACAATGAAACTGACCAGTTTCATTTAAATTCATGTCAAGACTACAATTGGCATTTAATATTGCCTAGCAATCCTACTGTGTTTCTCTAGAAAACTCAATTTATTCATGATTGATCAATAACTTCTCTTCTTTCCTTGAATCTCCTATGCTCCCCTTCTGCACACTGACTCCCTGGTGACTTTGCCACATAGTAGTATTTTATTTAAAATATAAAGGTGTCTGAAAAGAACCTTCTCATTTTTCCATCATAAAAATTATAAAGATACACACATCTGTGCCCATCTTTTCCTTCTTCTCTCTTGTTACAATGGAGGAATTGCCTGTTCACTTGCTTGTTACCAATCTCCCTCACCAGAATGCAAACTTCCCAAAGGTAGGGACTTGGTCCAGTACAGCCTTGAGCCTGGACCCTCTTTCTCTGAAACTTACCTGAGGTTTTTTATTTTTTATTTTTTTTCTTTCTACCTACACTTTCTTTTGTGTGACCTTATTCATTTATATGGTTTCAAATTCTAAGTACATATTATATAATTTAAAAATAAATACATGACTTAAAAGGGGCAAAAAGAATGTGTTGATAATTTTTATTGCTAGTTTGAAAGACATTTAAGCATGAATGGACCATCTAATGGGAGATTAGTAGTTGAATATCATTTGGAGTAGGTAGCTCAAAACTTGTTTTTTCTTCTCCATTCTTCTCACAATGAAAAAATAGGGACACTGGGATTAGAATGGTAGAGAGAAATAGTATAAAAAGAGAAAAGTTAGGAAACAGTTGGAGCATGAAAACTGTTAAAATGATTGGTGGAAATGTCCCGAGGACAAAGGGACAATGGGGAGAGGAGTCATCTACAATGCCTTCCTTTGTCTGCTCCAAAGTGGACAGAAAGTTCAGATGGAGTGCCCACTGTGCCCACAGACTTTCAGTCTCATTTACAGTGAGCAGCTGGATTTACTCCCTAGAATACATGCAGGTGCAGAGTATCCTGATGGGCAGAACACTGGCAGTCTTACCTCCACTTTCAATGAGGACATCCAGGAGTTCATCCATCTGCTGACTGCGAGTCATTTGCTATAATGAATTAACCAAAGGAGGACAGAGAAGTCAGAAGGTGGCTTCCTCTTCGATAGGAAATCATTCGAAGCAGCACCACATTTTTTTTTAAACTAGGTTTGACTTTAATTGTGGTAAAATACACAAAACATAAAAAGTATCATCTTAACCATTCCTAAGTGTACAGTTCAGTGCTATTAAATACATTCATATTGTTGTGCAACTATCACCACTCCCCATCTCCAGAACTTTTCTCATCTTGCAAAAGTGAAACTCTGTCCCCGTTAATCAATAACTCCCCATTCCATTCTCCTCCCAGGCCCTGGCAACCACCATTCTACTTTCTGTCCCTATGAATCTGACTACTCTAGATACCTTTTAAAAAATATATATATTTTATTGACTTTTTACAGAGAGGGATAGAGAGTTAAAAACATGGATGAGAGAGAAACATTGATCAGATGCCCCCTGCACACTCCCTACTGGGTATGTGCCCGCAACCAACGTACATGCCCTTGACTGGAATCAAACCTAGAACCCTTGAGTCCACATGCTGATGCTCTATCCACTGACCCAAACCAGTTGGGGCTCTAGATACCTTAAGTAGTGGATTCATATATAGTATTTTTCCTTTTGTGACTGGCTTATTTCACTTAGTGTAATGTCTTCAAGGTTCATCCATGCCAGAATTTCCTTCCTCATTAAAGATGAATAATATTCATTGTATGTATATATCACATTTTGTTTATCCATTCATCCATTGATGGACATGGGTTTGTTTACACCTTTTGACTTTTGTGAATAATGCTACTATAAACATGGGCATAACTCCTTTTTGGCCCCTTATCTCATTTTGAAGTGAATATGGTCCAAGAATGTGGCTCATATTTCCCAAGAATGTGGCTCATATTTCCTTACTTCTTCATTGCAGTAGTTTGTGGAACTTGTCAATACTTGTAGGGACTGGACCCCGCCCCTCTGGCTCACCGGCATTAAGCAGAGTCTTATTTATGGAAATTCGCTTTGCTTGGCCTTTTTATTTTCTTTTGAAACTGATATTTACAGATAACAGGTTGATATTACAGATACCAACGAAAGAAAATGCGGAGAACTAAGACACATATTGATCTCACTCCTCTGAGAGTCCAGTCCCAATAAACACAGGTGTCAATAATCAATACAGATGGGAGCACTGTTCCAAGAATGAGTCATTCACCAGTCCGGAAAGCATCTTATGCCTGCAGGGTCTGGCAGGCAATGCAAATGGTCCCAATGCAGAACAGGAGAGAAGGGTGGAGTGCTGAACCTATGCTGTGGTTCAAGAAAGCAGTGGATACACTGCCTCAGGTGACTGTTTTCTAAAAAAAAATGTGGCCTCCATGTAGACATATCCCCTAATTTTTCTGAAATGAGAAAGCCTAATTTTTGCATAAAATCTCCTACATATTAAAAATATTCTCTAAGCCAAGTAAAACCTAACTGCAGGCTGATGTGATATGTGGAATACCAGTATCCTTTTCTGGATTGAGCACATATGAAGGGTTAGCTGATACTTTATCCAAACTCAAGCCATTTGGAAAATAAGATCATTAATTGCTTTTCTTTTTGTACCTTTTCTTTTGAAAAATTTTGAACATAAATGAACCTCTGGCCAAAACTGGTTTGGCTCAGTGAATAGAGCGTCAGCCTGCAGACTGAAAGGTCTCGGGTTCGATTCCGGTCAAGGGCATGAACCTTGGTTGTGGGCACATCCCCAGTAGCGGGTGTGCAAGAGGCAGCTGATTGATGATTCTCTCTCATCGATGTTTCTAACTCTCTATTCCTCTCTCTTCCTCTCTGTAAAAAAAATCAATAAAATATATTTTTAAAAAAGAACATAATCTTACCATTTGCAACAGCATTAAAAAAAAAGAACCTCTATTATTATCCAGTTCCATAACCATCAACATATTGCCAGGAACAGTGAAATTTGAAGCTAAAAAGAACCCCGGAAAGAATCACACTGCGCATTGCTCTCATATATTTGAATATCTATCTGGTGCCTGGACATTTGGTATTAGAATGGTAGAGTTAAGTATTATATCATTTGGGATCATTACAAAGGAGATATTGGCCCTGTTTCATATAAGAGAAATGGAGTACTTGCCCAGCCTTAGTGGGAGTGCAGCTGTCATGTGGCTGAGCTGGCACTAAGTCCAGTCATTTGGGTACCCAGACAAACCCCTTCTTTCTCTTGGCCTCACACAGCTTACATACACATCAGCACCTTTCTATAGTTAGCATCTAGACACCATCCATTTTGATGGGAGGCACCAGATGCCCTCAATACCAGAATCCACATGCATGAACCCATGTAAAACATAGTCCAATTCAGCCAACCTATTCTTCAATAAAGAGCAAATCATGTGTTTACCTGTTTTACTGCATCTTCATAGGATGGAGGCTGTGTTATCTCTGCAACTGTTGATGTTGACTTAGGAAAAGTTGGAGATGGATTTGAAAACTTTGGTCCTGCTTTATCAGAAGAGTGCAAACCAGCCATCTGTGTGAGTCAAAGCAGAAACAGACAATTCACGTGTCAGATGTGGTACTGATTCTGTAATGGAAACTACGGGCTCAATTTTGGGAAAATAGATTTAAGGGGAAAAAGAGAGATAGGGCTAGGAAAACAAACCCAGTAGATTAACAATAGTATCTATCACTATGGACTTATTGCTGGAGGCATCTTAGAATGAGAACCTCACAGATTCATTTCTCGCTCCATGTTGCACCCTCTTCTGTGAGGAGGAAGCAAGATGAGAACAGGGAATGAAGTAAAAGAGTCTAGTCTAATCCAAAGAAGCCCACCACCCCAGGAGTTTCCATAGTAACTCATCCCCCAGCTGTTCCATTCGGGGCTGGTGCATTTGCAGAGAGCAGCAGGCATGGCTGGGGGAATCACTTGGAGACCAGCCTCGTGCAATTAGTGTGCCCTGTGGATAGGCCACTCTGGGGTCTCTGTCTCCAGGACCCTGGCCCCAGCAGGCAGTATGCAGCACTTCTGTATTGGCCATCATGCTTGCTCCTTATCACCTGACCCTTGCCCATGCTCCCCACATACTGGGTCCTTCATGCCCCTAACTCTTCCACCTGCTGAAATGCATCATCTCTTCCTTTTTTTTCTTTTTTCTTTTAAGAGAGATATTGCACGGTGACTCCAATGTTCTGGATCCCTCTGATCCTTTCCACAGATCCCTGTATTTCACTTTCTCCAGCAGTACGTCTCATGCTCCTCTATTTCAGCTTCACAGGAACCGGTTTGTTCGTCACAGTGTCTCACAAACACACCAGGGTCATGTTATTCACATCACTTCTAGAATAACGTTGGGAAATGACTTCTTGAAGTACTTCCGATAGCTTATATTGGTACATCCATTTCAGGCCTATTTCTGTCTACAATGTCATTTATTTCTGCCATCGAACCTCATCATTGGGATAAAAAGGATCCACAGAAGAAAGAAGAGGCAAAGTCAACCTTAAGTTTAAACCCTTCTCCAGATGCCTACCTTTTGCTGTACACTTGGGCTTGAGGGACAAGGATTGCCCATAGCACCATGACTGCTGTCTGCCTGGGCCCCAGAGAAAGGGGGGTGAAGGCTGGCAGGCTGCGGGGAGAAGCTCGCAGTATGGCCCTCGTGTGCCCCTGAGTTCTGTAGAGAGAAAGAAGCACAAGCTAAGCGACTTTAGAGTAGCCTTTGTTGAAACAACTGGCCCTGGTCCATTCCATGACCAAAGTCCCAGTTCTTGTTTTTATGTGTCACCTACTGCTCGAAACACTCAGGTGCTCTTACGTGTCCAAAGCACGGAGTTCCGCTTCTTCCCCCCAACATCAGTGTTCAAGATGTTAGTCAAGCACTAGCTCCTTCTGCAAGTTCAAGTTCCATGAATCCCTCTGTGAGCTTCCCTCAGCATGCCCTGTACATGCTACCTCCCTATCGGTTTTTCCCCCTCATGGAATGCCCTTTTCCTGACCCCCCACCCCCTTTTTAAAAATATATTTTATTGATTTTTTTTTACAAAGAAGAAGGGAGAGCAATAGTTAGAAACATCAATCAGCTGCCTCTGCACACCTCCCACTGGGGATGTGCCCACAACCAAGGTACATGCCTTTGACCGGAATCGAACCTGGGACCTTTCAGTCCACAGGCCAATGCTCTATCCACTGAGCCAAACCGGTTTCAGCCTGACTCCCCTTTTTGAACTCTACACTTCCTTTTAAGTCTACCCTCTTCTCTAAACCTTACCGGACTTTTCTAGCCCTTCAGGATCCATCTGCCACCCCTACCCTCACCACAATGTCATAGACACAAGTCAGTAATGTTATCCTGGATTGCTCAATATATTTTTTATCAAGCAATCACTTATGTCTTCAAAGGGTGCTTTGTAAACTGTAAATCACTGTACGAATGTTGGTTTTTCTGGAGAGTATCGATATCGTTAGAACTGAATGTGCAGAGCTTTGTAAAAAGAGCTGTGTTGACCTCTGTTGCCTAGGACACTATGCATTCAGTCAATGTTGTCAATGATGATGAAAATGCATTTCAATCCCAACTCCTCCCAAATGGGTGGGCATTATTCATTTGAATGCACTGCTCCACTGGGTTTGCAAAAATGTCTTCTCATGACCTATGGCCACACCCAGAGCAGAGAATAGGCAGTGTGAAGGGAGCATGTACTTTAGAATCAGATAATCCCAGTTTCACTTCCCTGAGCCACACGTTCCTCAGCGGCAAATAAAGAATAATGAGCCAAAGCCATTTTTGATTTAGTGGATAGAGAGTCAGCCTGCGGACTGAGGGGTCCCAGGTTCGATTCCAGTCAAGGGCATGTACATTGGTTGTGGGCACATTCCTGGTGAGGGGTGTGCAGGAGGCAGCTGGTTGATGATTCTCTTTCATCGATGTTTCTAGCTTTCTGTCCCTCTCCCTTTCTCTCTGTAAAATATCAATAAAATATATTTTAAAAAAAGAAAGAAACCCCATATCTAAAAAAAAAAAAAAGAATAATGAATCAGAGCCCAAAAGATTGTTGTGACAATGAACAAGATTACTCATATACATATACATGTACATGGCAGGAGTGAGATTAATGCTAGTTTTCTCCCTACTCTCTTTCTAATGCCATAGCACTCAGATTCTTTTCATGATGCAATCCAAGCATGTCAGACTCACGCTGGTGGGTTGCGAGTTTGACATGCTTCATATAACCTTTCCTTAGGTAGACTTAAAGAGATGCTCTTAATAATTCTTTGGCTTCATAGACAAAGTAACATCTTGAGTCTTGATGATCACCTTGGTCTAATCTTTGAAACAGTTACTATTCTCAGCCGGCTCCTACAATTCCGCTCTCATCCTACCCCAGGCACACCTTCTTTCCACCATGCACGGTCCCTCCTCAGGGCACTTGCTATTCCTCCTTTGCCTAGAGTGCCTACACCCAAATATTCATAAGGCTTTCTCCTTTACTTCTTGAAAGCTTTGCTCAAATGTCCCTGCCCCTTTTACTTAAGGTTGCAAATTTCCTAATCTCCTCACCCCTCCCTCCCCTTCTCTGCTTTCTCTCTATAAGATGTATCATCATCTTCTTCTTTTTCTTTTTTTAAAAATATATTTTATTGATTTTGTACAGAGAGGAAGGGAGAGAGATAGAGAGTTAGAAACATCGATGAGAGAGAGTCATCGATCAGTTGCCTCTTGCAAACCCCCTACTGGGGATATGCCCCCAACCAAGGTACATGCCCTTGACCAGAATCGAACCTGGGACCATTCAGTCTCCAAGCCGATGCTCTATCCATTGAGCCAAACCGGTTTCGGCAAGATGTATCATCTTCTAATACATTACATATTTTATTTTATTTTTCTAATTTACTGTCTGCCTCCCCATGAGGATAGGGATTTTTGTTGTTGTTGTTTTTGTTAGTTCAGCACTAGTCCCCAGAGACTGGAAGGGGGTCTGGGCTGGCACACAGTAGGTGCTTAGTAAATCTGTGCACGCTGCATACCACCACCCAGAGACCACGTAACTTCCCCTTTGGCTCTTGGAATGAACTGGTTGGGCCTGTGCTGAGGCTTGGCTCCAAGGAATCCTACAACAGAGTTTGGCAATCTCCAGGCCTGGGAGCCAAACCTGTTTGTGCACATAAAGCTTTATTGGCACGCAGCCACGTGCACTTGTTTATAAGCTGTCTGCAGCTGTTCGCATGCTGCAGGGGAGGAGGGTTGCGTCCTTGTGACAGAGACCATAACGCCCCCAAAGCCAAACGTATTTCCTATCCAGCTTGTTACAGAACCCGGCTGCCAATCTCCGCCCCAGAGAAGCGAGCCCGTGTCTGTTCTGAAGGCCCCAGCATCTCCCTGTGTGTCCCAGGAGGTGCTGCTGGACTCTGCAAGTTCCAACACCAGCTCTTAAGCTCTGCAACTCCACACCCCACTTCCAGGAAGGGGGGCAGGGGTGCAGCGGGGGTGCGCGAGGCACTCTTACCTGTGCAGTGCACACCTGGGCGCTGGCAGGTGAGGAGACCCCGTGCCCCTCTCCCTGGGCACCTGCTGACGAGGAAGGGAGGAAGTAATGGTTGTTGGGGGATGGGGGCAAGCTGATGTGCTGCGGGCTCTTCAGGGCCCCCAGCGGCGAGTGCTGCGGGGAGCACTGCGGGCTGAGGAACGTGGAGGGCAGAGCGTGGGCCTGCCCCGAGGCCTCCAGGCCGTGCCCGCTGCCCGGGGGCAGCAGGAGCGGGGCAGCCTGGACGTCCGGTGGTCTGTGCGCGGAGCAGACCCGCCGGGAGGCCGCGAAGGGGCAGCTGGGGGCAGCGTCCTCCTGCTTGATGGGTGCCCCTAGGAAGGGCGGCGGCGGCTCCAGCTCGGAGGCGGCGGTGCCCTTGCTCCGCTTCTGCTGCTGCAGCTGTAGTCGCAGCTCCTCCACGTGCCGCTGCTCCTGCTGCAGCTTCCACGTGAGCTCGTTGATGACCTTCTGCTTCTCCACCAGCATCTTGTCCTTCTCGGAGTCCAGCCCCGCGTCCAGCTCTGCAGGAGCGCTGCCACCGTGCAGGCTGCTGGCCAGGCTGTCGTCGGGGCCCAGGCGGCCCGGGGACGGGTGCAGGCCGAAGGAGGGCGATGCATCTTGGAAGGCGTCCGGCAGGGACCCCGCCAGGGACAGGTCGGAGGAGGCGGGCGAGATGGGCGGGCTGGAGCTGGTGCTGCCAAAGTGGTAGAAGCCCTTGGGCAGGGCGGACGGGGAGGACTGATAGTGAGGCAGGGCGCCGGTGGGCGTGACGGGGAAGGTGACCGTGGTGATGTCGCCGAAGCTGGGCACAGGGCTCCCGGAGCAGTCCTGGAAGGGCCGCAGCCGGTCCATGAGCGCCGTCTTGGTGCCCGACACCGGCAGGCCGCGGAGCCTGAGCTGCTGTCGTAATTCAGAAACCTGGAGCAAGCAGGCACGTTACTGTTCTGTCAAGGACGATGCTTTAAACATGCATAATTATTAGTATTACATTGACTTTAAAAGATCACAAGTGCAGTTTCACAGTGTTCGCTTCTCTTTTTATCATTGCCTCCCCCCCCCCCCCCCCGCTGCATCCAGTATGTCAGTTTTGCACAATTTTAATAATGTTCTTAAAATGTGTCATAGGCCAAGTTTTCATGGCTCCAAGATCATAGATATATCCTAGAAATGGTGAGACCACACGGATCACAGAGGCATGCCAATCCCATCCTGGTCCTGTCCCCATATCACAGATGAAAAGACTGATACCTGCCTAAGTTCAGGCATCAGCTGGCAACCAGCCATCCTGCAGCATGCTAACACTCTGAGGAACTGCCTCCTACCTTCCCCGCCAGTCCTCCTGGTGGGCGATTCTCAAACCTGAGCAGGTGCTGGAACCCAGGCCTGCAGGTTGTTACACAAGTGGGTGGTGGTGGGGGGGAGGGGCTGGGGTTCTTACACAGGTAGCTGGGCCCCACACCAGTTTCTGGCTCCCTGGGGCAGGGGGTGGGGGCTGAGAGGTGCCTTTCTGACAAGCTCCCAGGGGCGCTGATGCCGTGATCCCAGCCCAGCGTTGGAGAACAGCAGCTGTACATGAACACTCTGTCCCCGGTTTAACAGCTGGCGGATGGCGGTGCTCTCCTGAGAGAGAGATGTGTGGCAATAAGACCCTCAATTCCAATGCTGGCCCTGCTCTCCCTAGTTCAGTGTCAGCCTGTGCCCCAGCTCTGCTTCTGCACACGGAGGTAATCCTACCACCTTGTGAGGATTAAAGCAGTTTACACAGTGGAAAGCACTGGGAAGAGTACTTTGCATATGGTCAGTGCATGTAGGGGCTGTTATTGTTATGTTGAAGCACATGTAATTATCTCACCCCTGCACTTTTTCATGTTCATGAATTTTAACCATCAGATATCTAAAAAAATAGAAACTAAGTAAATAATAATGCATACAAATGATGGAATACTTTAGGTCTATTAAAACTGATGGTGTAAATATTTGTTGACATAAAAATAATTATTTATGGTATAGTATTACATTTAAAAGGTTTCAATAACTTTATTTTATTTTCTAAGAAAAAAATATATAGTATACGTACACACACACACACACACACACACACACACACGTGTATGTGTGTAATATAAATATATATTTAAGCCTGTGCTTGCAGATTATAATATCCGGATAAAGATGTGCTAAAATGTTAATGATGGTTCTCCTTATCTGTACTTCCTAAGTAGTTCCCATAAGCATATTACTTTTATAATTAAAACAGGAGCCATATTAAATATCTAACTGTCAATAATTCTATGAAACAGCTAGAAGAATATATACAAAAATATCCTTCTGATAGTCTGTAGGGGAAGACCTTTTGAGCAGAAAAGCAAAGAAGCTAATCATAAAAAGTTGACAAAAATATTTGAAAACTCCTATCAGTCACAAAATGAAGATGCAAAGGCAAATAGAATTTTAAGGAAAAATAGTTGCAGGAAAAATAATAAAGTATTAGTATGCTCAATGGGCCAAGTGTGTTTAAAAACCCCGAAGATAAAGATGGACACCCAACTACAAATGGACAATGGACATCATCCAATTTTTCACAAAAGAGAACATTTTAAAATGACCAATAATGTATGTATACCATCATTAGTAGTCCAATATTTGCAAACAAAAAATATGCATATTTTGTATTCATCTAATTGACAAAAAAATTTGCAATAGCACTTTGTGTTACTTAAATAGCAGCAAAAATAAATGAATAAAAAAATTTAAATTAGTGAAAGAGAAAGATAGAATGAGAGAGAGAAAGAGAGAGAGAGAGAGAGAGAGAGAGAGAGAGAGAGGATGAGAGGCAATCAATAAGTTACCTCCTGACTGGGGATTGAACCTACAACTTGGGATGTGCCCTGACCAGGAATCGAACTCACCACCAACTGAGCCACACTGGCCAAGGCTAAAAATGCTTTTTATTTGTGTTTGTTTGTTTTGTTTTCAATCTCTTTTATACTTAACTAAATGCCCAGTGCACGAAATTTGTGCACAGGAGAAGGGATCCTCAGCCCAGCCTGAACCATCTCACAATCCACTTAACCACTTGCCTGCATGCCTGATGCCTCTAACCACTGTCTGCCTGCCTGATCACCTCTAACGGCCTATGCCTGCCTGCCTGATCACCCTAACCATTTGTTTGCCTGCTTATCGTCCCTAAGTACTCCGCTGGCCTGCTTGATCACCCCTAACTGCTCGCCTGGCTGCCTGATTGTCCCTAACTGCCTCTGCCTTGGCCCCCACTGCCATGGCTTTGTCCAGAAGGACATCTGGAATGACTTCCAGAAGGTCCTTTGGCTGTCCAGTCTAATTAGCATATTATGCTTTTATTATTATAAATACTAGGCTATTTTGAATGTGGTCTGTGGACCAGCAGCACTGGCAGCTTCGGGGAGCCTGTTAGAAATACGGAATCTCAGGCCCCTCCCAGACCTACTGAACTGAAAGCTGCATTTTACCCAGAGCCCCTGTAGCTCATCTGCTTCCCGGACTAGCGAGGCACAATGTTCGGGACAGAAAGTGGGCAATATGTAGCAAGAACTTCTAAAAACGGTAATATGCTTTGGTTCAGAAATTCCACTCCTATATGTTTAGCCTGGGGAGATATTTAGATAAATTAATAAATGTATGTACAAATTGTATTTTTAACAGTAAACATTTGGAAGCAAGTTAAATGTCCAACAGAGGAATGTTAACTAGGTGGTGAAGTAATATGCTGCTATTAAAAATTAAAAGATTTTTGACTCTTAAGAGTTATAAAAAATGTTCATTTGTTAAACAAAAATGCATGTCAGAAATTTACGCTCACATAATTATTCTAAAGCAAAATATGTCCATATGCATTTCAAAACTAGAAGGAAATAGAATCTGTTATGTGAGTCAACTGCCTTTTAAAATGCTCTTTACTTCTCTCTACACAAATGTATTTCAATAGTGAGTAATATTATTTCACACTCAGCTAAAATGTATTTTACATGGATTAGGACAATTTACACCACCCCAAGCAATGCATATGCTATCCTCCCCCCCTCCCCGGTCTTGCTAGCATTGCTTTTATTTTAGATTTGCTGATTGGAAAAAGTGCAAAGTGCCAACTCATTGTTTTAATTTTGAATTACTTACAATTAATGAGTTCTGCATTTATTTTTGGAATCTGTTCTGGCACTGAATAATTTAAAGCACATTATCAAATAGTGCAGCTTATATTCTAAAGTAAACTGAATGCTGGTTGAATTCAGTTTACCTTCCATTTCAGAATATTACACTGTGTGGGCATGCTTGGGACAAAGTTTTGTATATACATCCTTCCTACATTCATTGGTGTTTCAATTATTGATAAGGTAAACCATTTATTATGGAAAATTTCAAGCATACATTAAAGTAGTGAGAAAAACGTAATGAACCCCATATAACCACCAACCACTTTCAATAATTATCAACTCATGTCCAATCTTGTTTCATTTATACCCAAACCACTTCTTCCCCAACATTTTCTGAATTCAGAAATCGTGTAGTTTAATCTGTAAAAAGTTGGTATCTATCTCTGAAAGATAAATACTTTTAAAAAACACACCGATACAATACCATTATCACATCTAAAAATACATGAACCATTATTTCTTAGGCTCTATCAAATATTGCCTAGTTTTTAAATTTCACATTCACCTTCACATTCTTATTCTCTCTCTCTCCCACCAGTTTGTTAGAAACTGGATACAAGACAAACACAAAAAATGGACTGTGATATTATTGTTTGAAGTTTTTAATGAGAAACCAAACTCTATTCTCAGTATTTTCCACTTTTAATTTCTACGTAGCAAAACATGAGCACTTATGGAAAATATCACTTCATTGCCTTATCTTTCTGGTTATTAATATACCGTATTTTCCGGCGTATAAGACGACCCCCTAATTTTACAGTTAAAACATAGGTTTTGGCCTATATTCGCTGTATAAGACTACCCCCCACTTCCGAGGCAACACCAGTTCTTTTTTTAATAGACCGCCTCTCTGACTCTGGCCATTCTGAGCAGGCTTTCTCAGAATATAGGCCTAAACCTATGTTTTAACTGTAAAATTAGGGGGTCGTCTTATACACCGGAAAATACGGTGTGTGTGTGTGTGTGTGTGTGTGTGTGTGTGTGTGTGTGTGTGTTGGTTTTAGAGAGGAGAGGTAGGGAGAGGAAAAGAGAGAGAGAGAAACATCAATGTGAGAGAGAAACATCAACTGATTGCCTCCAGTACGTTCTGACTGGGCACTAAACCTGCAACCTAGGTAAGTGCCCCGACCAGGAAACAAACCAGTGACCTTTCTGTGCACAGGACAACACTCAACCAACTGAGCCACACTAGCCAGATTCCGATTACTTTTTTGGAGGGTCGTCTTCATTAATTCCTCTTATCTCTTCCTTCCCCAAAATGTGATTACATCATTTGCTTCCCTTATTCCTCTTCTCTCCTTCCTTTCTCTCTGTTCCAACCTCCTCTCCACTCTTTCCATTTTGCTCTCCTTCTATCTCATTCACTCTTCTAAAGTTTCAACCTTCCCCACTGTGAAAACAATCCCAAAATTTCTGTCCCTATGCCCAACAACACAGCTGAGGCCAACCAACTTGGTATTTATCTAACAGAACCTGCTGGTAGCTGAGACTCAGCTTTCCCAGACTGAATGAACTTGCCAATGTCCCCTCACATCAGCTCCTCAAGCTAACGTCCCAGTGCATGTTGTTGTGGTAGAAGACATGTCACATAAATCTCACCATTTAATCATTCTTCAGTGGCTCCAGTACATCAACAATGTTGTGCAAATATCAGCATGATTATCTCCAGAACCTTTTCGGGATCTCAAATTGAACCTTCTGTCCCCATGAAACACGAACTCCCCATTCTCACCTCCTCCAGCCCATGGTAACCTGCATCTACTTTCTGTCTCTATGAAGTTGACTATGTGAGATACCTCATATTCGTGGACTCGTACAATATCTGTCTCTGTGTCTGGCTTATTTCATGGTGTAATGTTTTCTAGGTGAGAGAGCCTGCTGATCTGGACGGGTTTAGGATCTGGGGAGTGGAGGGTGGTACCCTATGGCTCTGGAGAGCATTGCCATGCCCTTGGCATCCCCGTCTAGGTTTATGGATGCCAAGTTCAAACCTGAGCACTTGTATTCCAAGTGGGAGTAACAGAGAAACCTTTGATAGTAGGACCCTAGATACACATTATTCACTGGTCTTGGCACGTGGCAGCCATGGAATTTTCTTTAATTTGAAATAATCCCAATCCTACTTCCCTTCAAAGAAGATAATGACCAAGTACTGAACGTGGGAATGAGAGTGGCCATGAGGACTGAGACAGGGCTGTGGCTGGCCCAGTGAAGACTGGGGACTTGTATAAATTTAGTCTTTTGGGAAACATGCTTTGTGGGTAAGCAGGTGTCAGCATTGAGAGTGAGGAGGCACTACAGACGGTGGTGTGCTCACAGAGTAGAGCAGCAAGGCACTGCGCTCACCCTTTTCAGTTCTGTGTGAGTCCTGGGCAAGTGCATGCACTGCCTGAGGGTCCCGCCGAACCACACCAGGCTCAGCTCAAAGCTCAGGGCATCTCAGTAACTGAGGGTCTGTGGTCAGTGACTAGAGTAAACTGCTAGCACATACATAGCATGTCGCCAGTTGCTGTTACATTTCAGAAGGTCCCTGACTGCATTTCATAGACTAGTACATTGCTTTAAATTATATAATTATCATAGAGTTACCAACATTTTATTTTGTTAAATAAGGACTAGTATCCTTACTTAATAACTAGAAACCCAGTGCCCGGGGTCCCTCGGCCTGGCCTGTATCCTCTCGCAATCCGGGACCCCTTGGGGGATATTGGATAGCCAGTTTCAGCCCGATCCCCGCAGGCCCAATCCAGACAGGCGGGAGCCCGATCCTGTGGATTGAGTGTCTGTCCCCTGGTGGTCAGTGAATATCATAGCGACTGGTCAACCGGTAGTTCAGTCATGCATATATATAGTTTCTTTTAATAAAAGGAAACAAAACTTTCTCAGAAACACTCAGCTTTCATCTACTATCATCATTTACTACTGGAAAATATCTTTCAGCATTCAAAATATTGGGAGAAAATAAGTACTTTGAATAAATATTACATCTGTGGAACATATTTAGAGTTACAAAAACCTTTATATGGTTTTTATTTTCCTCATTTTACCAGAGATTGGTAAGAGGTCATCATGGGATTGACCACTGGCTCGGAGCTCATATCGATCCCATAGTACTCTGTGCTATGCTCTATCATGTATATATGATTCCAATTGATTTTCATGACAAACCATTTATGCAAATGAGGAATCTGAGATGCTAAAAATTAAGAAACTAACCCAAGGTTGCACAGCCGGTCAAGCTTGTGTATTTAGCCATAGCAGTTAATATTCTGTCACCTACTGAGTCTCTCCCACATTCTTCTGCATCATGTTCTATACAAGAAATCAGTTGGTGAAAATGTTATTTAAAAGGTATTTGTTTAAAAAAAGGAAAAAATAAATCATGCCGAATCCTATACCTTCAGATCATCCAGGTTTGATGGGAGTGGGCCTGGCTTGAGAGAAGAGACACCAGTTTGACCAGAAAAACTGTTTTTGACAGGAGACATAGGGGTACTGCTCAGTGGTGCTGAAGAAGAGTTTGGATTTCTGACCATCTGTTCATTTGGTTCCCTGAAAACAGACAAAAAGGAGGGACTTAAAATACAGTCAGATCTATATATTGTGATATACAATAAGAAATATATACTTGGTGTTTATACAGTTTCTGGCTCAAGGCTAAAACCCTTGGGATTTGCCAGGTGAGGAGAGTGACAAAGGCGTATCTTGTTATGTTAATGAGGTGGCTTTTGGACTATCTAAGGAGCGATGCTGGCTGCCAGGAGAATCCATCCTGTAATTAGACTCTAATCATTAGAGGGTAGAAACTTTTGGTTCCACCACCTTCCCTGGCCTCCAGGCAGGGTGAGGGATTGGAGATTGAATTCACCAATGGCCAATGATGCAACCAGTCCTGGCTTTGCCATGAAGCTTCCATAAAAACCCAAAAGATTGGGGGCCAGAAAGTTTCTGCGTTGGTGACCACATGGAGGTGCTGGCAGAGTAGCCTCCCTGGCCAGGGCTTGGATGCCCTGTGCCCCTCCCCACACCCTGCCCTGTGCATCTCTTCCATCTGGCTGTTCCTCAGTTGTATTCTTTCATAATAAACCAGTGACCCAGTAAATAAAATGTTTCTCTGCATTCCATGAGCCGCTCTAGCACATTAATCAAACCAAAGGAGTAAGTTGTGGGAACCCAATCTGTAATTGGTTGACCAGAAGCCCATGTAACAACTTCTGGACAACCTCTGGCATCTTCAGAAGGTGAGAGTACCAATCTTAGGGACTGAGCCCTTACCTGTGGAATCTGACACTATTTCCGGGTAGCTAGTGTCAGAATGAGGTTAAATTGTTGGATACTCTGCTGGTGTTGGGGAATCGCTTGGTGATGTGGGGAAAACATCCCCTACATATTGGAATTGGGTGACCAGAACCCTTAGGGGGTAACTTATATTTAGACTAGAGGCCTGATGCATGAAATTCATGCAAGGGTAGGCCTTCACAGCCCTGGCTAACTTGCAGTCCATGGCCCTGCAGCCCCACCCCCACCCAGGGGTCATTCCGAAAGGTCGTTCCACCATCCGGTCTAATAAGCATATTAACTCTTTATTATAGAAGATGAAATCACAAGTTAATTGTCTATAAGGACCAGGCACGGGGAGGAAAACCACAGCAGGCTAGCTGGCAAGTGGCAAGTCACACTCAGGCTGAGTCTGGGGGAGACTGGAGGGAGTGGTGCTGAAGAAGAGTTTGGTGGATTCTTTGGCATATGGGTGGGCATATCCATGCCTCATTTAGCAGGTGCAGCTCTGTGGAGCAGAGGCAAGCCTGCGGAGCTTGGCTGTACGCAGCATAATGGCTGGTGTCACCCAAGGCTGAACAGGGAGATGGCTGGAACCTCTCTGTTCCACTTGGGGCCTCAACGTGGTCACTCCTCCCTTTTCCCGGGGAGGCCTCTTATCAGGGGCACTGATTTCCTTGCTCCCTCCTGGCCTATGTTCCTGAAAAGGTGTGCCCAGTTTCCAAACATGACAGCATGGGACTTGGCCGCAGGGGCTGGCCCGATGCCCAGGAAGAGAGGAGCCACCACCCTGTGTGCAGCCCAGGCTCTGGGACTCACTTGAGCTGAGCGGGGTGGACGCTGGTGTAGCCGAAGCGCTGCTGCTGCTGCTGGCTGAGGATCTGCAGCTGCAGGAACAGCTGCTGCTGCTGCAGCAGCCGCGCGTAGGCCGAGTCCATGGGCGGCGGCGACTTCTCCGCCTTCTGGTCCGGGGGGATGTACTGGTGGTACTTGAGCTTCTTCACCTTTGGCTTGGGGTCCTTGGGCTTCTTGTGGCGGTTCTTACTGTCGCTCAAGGACTTGGCCTGCAAGACATGGCTTTAGGTGATGGAGAGAACTGGTGTCATGGGAACGTGCGACGGTGTCCTGTCCGATAGATGTTCTCGAATCTCGGACAGACATACAGCAAAGCATGGAGTGCAAGGAGACCCTGGGACACTGCGATGTCTAATGAACCGGAAGCACACCCCTCAGCTGGGAGTCTTGGACCTTACAAGTGGCTCCTGGAGCTTTTTCCTCCCAGAGTAGAGTGAGGACACTTTCCTCACCTCAAACCAACTGCCGTCGAACACATTCTGATTTTGGGGTTGATTCGTAGGAAAGTACTCCCATGTGTATACATGGAATCACTGCTGCTTAAGCACTTAGCCAATTGACGTAGTAATGCCATACATTTAGATGAAATTAACCTTGACTTTGAAAATGTGAAGTTTTGCTGCTTCACGCTGCAAAGTAATATAGACTCTTCCTCCCACCACCATCCCTAATCCTGATATAAAATCAGGAAGTGGTACCATTGAAATACTGTACTTACTATGAGGAGGGTTAGCCACGCCCTGGGGATTTACCCTTTGTAGAGCGTGGTTTGGACACATGGAAAGAAGTTTAGTGTATGGGCTAGGGAGTGAAGAGAAATTTCTGAAGGTGGTACAAGCACCTTACTACATCTTAGTTACCTCACCTGCGAGTTGGGGAAAATAATCTCTACTTCCTATCTCAGTAACCAACGTAAGGGTGATGGAAGACAGTATTGAAATAACAACAGGTCTCAGAGGAGAGTGTGATTAGATCTATAATCTAAAATCAAAGGCCTCCCTACTTTAGGAAGCAAATACTGTGATCAGTTGAAAAATATAAAGTTCAAACCTTGACTTTTTCCAGAAGGTTGAAATGAAGAACATGGATATCATGTAGGAAGATTCTTGAGAATTTGGGGAAAAGGTGGAGGGAACATGTGGTACCAGAAGTGGCCAGAAGAGGGGGCTCCTGCATAGCTGGCAGGCCCGTTCTGAAGGGCAGTGGCCCCATTTTAACCACAGAACACATATCTGAAGGTGACCTACCCAGGGGAGCTGCCCACTTGCCTTCCTAACCAGTGCATCCCACCACCGAAGCCTCTGTGTTTTCTCAAGGAGGCTTCTGGGAGACTAATGAATGATGAGCACGTGTCTTTCCCTGCTCCTTAATCACTTAGCATTCCAGTTAAGGAGTCAGTCTCTCACTGGGAGGACTTCTCCGGCCCGCAGTCAGCTCTGCGCTGCTTGGCTGCATCTGTTCCCACCTCAGCGGGGACTTGCCTTATCCTGGGAGCTTCAGCCCCAAGTCTTCCTAAAGATTTTCTCTCCATGCTGCCTTACTTAGTTAGCACAGGGAATGAGCCATGCAGAAGGTTCTAAAACCAAGTCATTTTCTCTGCACAGTGAGGGCAATGACTATTGCGCAGGTGGAGCTCTGAATTCAGGGACTGGTGCCGTTTCACACTTTTTCTGAGACCAGAAGCTATTCAACCTGTGGATTTGTGTTGCTGTTTCCTACCAGGTGAGAGGACAACCTAAGGCAGCAGTGCATCTAATGCCCAGGGGCTTAAGACCCAGGCATGAAGGTGAGTGTAATGTGATAGGGAACAGTGTGCTCCGTGCCTGACACTTCCTCACTCAGCCTGCACACACACAGTGGGGCTGTCGCACAACACAGCAGCCCCTGCCTGCGAGATTAAGTCAAACTTGTCAGCCCAAACAGGCTGGCGCCAAACTGCCTAGCCCTACCCTCTCCAGCAGTTCACCCCTCCTTCCCTTGTAATTTTCTGCTGTTTGGGAACTCCCTCCTCCACTTGTTGTATGACTCCAGCTCATCCTCTGAGTCCAGCTCAAAGCTCAACTCACCAGGGAAGCTTTTCCTAACTCACAGCCATGTCTCCTGTCTGAGAGTCTCACATGGCATAGCCACACCCCTGCTGAGGGGAGGGGACTGAAATCCAGCCCTCACTCTGCTTCGGAGGCTGTTGGTCCTGAGGTGGAGCTATGGCTGCCTGGGAGGGGGAACCTCTGCTTATGTTACCTAATAATATACAAACATGTAAATTGACTGTACCTCCACTATGCCCACCAGCCAATCAGGAGAGAATATGTAGATTAGAAGAAGAAAGATGGCAGCCACTCAGCTACTCCAGGCTTGAAGTGGCCAGGGAGGGTAGGATGCCTGCTATGAGAGGGGGGGGGCAAGGGGATCTATAGGTGTGGCACTCTGGCCCCACAGCAAAGACGAAGATGGCAGACTTTGGCCAAGTCTGCAGCAAAACAGCGAAGACAAGGATGGCAGACTCCAACCTGAGTCAGCAGAAAAGACAGCAGACTCTGGCTAGAGTCTGCAGCAAAGACAAAGAAGGCAGACTCCGGCCAGAGCAAAGGCCTGGGTCCCAGGCACCAGAAGAAAACCGATGCTGGAAGGAAGGCCTATTGCACGAATCTCTTTGTGCAGCGGGCCTCTAATATTGTGATAAGATACAAGTAACACAAAATCACCATAGTCATCATTTGAAAGTACACAATGTAGTAGCACTTAATACATTCACAATGCTGTGTGTGTCGTCACTATCTAGCTCTGGAACATTTCCATCGCCCCCAAAAGAAAGCCACTCATACCACTGAGCAGTCACTCCCAACCTTCCCTCCTTCCTGCTGCCCCCCAGGAGCCACCTCTGCTTTCTGTCTATATGGCTTGGCTATTCAGGGTGTTTCAGAGAAATGGAATCAAGTCTTTTGTGCTGGACTTTTCACTCAGCATAGCACTTTCAAGGTTCATTCCTGGTATACTGTGTAGCAGCACTCATTTCTCCTTATGGCTGAATAATATCCCATTGTGTGGATATGCCACATGCATATCCGTTCTTCAGTTGATGGGCCTGTGGGTAGGGTGCTATGCATATTTGTTTCCAAGGTTTGGTTTGAACATTTGCTTTCAGTTCTCTTGGGCAAATACCTAGCAGCGGAATTACTGGGTCATACAGTAATTCAGCCCTGAACTTATTGAGGGGCCACTGCTGTTTTCCATAGTGGATGGAAACCATTTTACATTACACTCTTCCTCTGGCAACATTTGAGAACGCCTGTCTCCACATCCTCACCAGCACTCGCCTTTCCCCCATTTTTTACTATAGCATTCCGGTGGGTGTGCTGCGTATTTTGTTTGCATTTTTGGGTTTTCTTTTTTCTGATGACATGCAACACCTTTTAATGTGATTATTGGCAATTTCCTTATCTTTGAAGAAATGGCTAGTAGAGGCACATTTTCCGTACTTGCTGAAAGCACTAAGTTAGCAGCGCTGTTATACCCAACAGGCGCCTCGAGGGCAGGGACCATAGGATGGGCGCCTCCCCCCCGCCCCCCACCCCCGCCCCCCTCCACTGCGTGGAGAATGCCTTCCTCTCCTAGGAGACTTTCCACATCCGAGCACTGCTGTGCATTCACATTGGCCTCACGGGAACCTCTCACCGTCAGCAGGGCCTCTAGAGGGGTTCCCAGCCTGGTTGCCTCCTTTGAGAGTCCTCTAGAATCCTCTTAATTTAAAGATGATGAATATTCAACAGCGAGCAGTCACAGGCATTGGCCAATCAGCAGGAATGTGGGCTCTTACGTAAACGTAAACCACCGCTCAGTCCTGCTCTTTATGAAAATGGACCCGTCCTCCTAGGGCAACATTCGCAGAGTGCAGGGGCCTGAAGCTTCACTAATCTGAACTATGAAATGTAAGACCCGTTGGTGGAAATTCTTATACAATTTCTTTGTGCACAACATTGAAAATAATGTGAATCATCGCCTCCTTCCACCTGCAGTGAACAAACTCAGCAGCAGTCACCTGATTTCAAAGCTGCCTAGCTGAGTGAACTGGAAGCGAGCTTTAAGCCACTGCAGTTGGGTGGGGGCGCTTACTGGGCGGCCGAAATGCCTGCTGGCCACTTCTGTGTGAGCAGTGGCGGGGACCCTGGACTGTTACTTTAACACTGACTCTGACTCAGTCTACAACCACTAACAAAATAGTTCCTCTCAATTTTCTTTAAGTGGCAGTCTGAGAGGTGAGAGACATGCTCCCAAAGCAACTAGGAGTTGCATGGCATACACTGGGAGGAAGGCTAGATGCCTCCCAGGCACCTAAGCCAGGGGATCCCACTCCAGAACGATGAGCTACAATGCTGAGAAACGAACCAGCGATATGCTAAATGCTGTATTGTTCTTGGTCTGTTTACCTTAAAGAACATCCCCTTTATCTGCACTTTATATGGAGCCTGGATGGACCCAGGGAGGTCTGACTTGTCCAAGGCCTTCTGGTCTGCTTCCCTTGCATGAAGTTCAACTCCCCTCTGCTGGTTTGATGGCACTTACAATTCTGTGTGTGTTACGGCCAGCTGTGTCTATGGCTTTTAAGTCAGGAACAAACTAGTGGGCGCTGAGCCCAAAGAAATGCAAAGGCATGGGCTTCCCCTGCAGGGAAATCAAGTCCCACGCTGTGCTGCGTGGAAAGCAGGATCTTGGTCCACGTACCCACTGCTCACACTGTCATGCGTGTTCCTAGTGGACTAAACCTGTAACAGGGTCTGCGTGGCTCTCATCTTCGCAGCCTCGCTCAGAAAGCTCTGCTCAGTGCTGCCCTGTGAGCCGGAAGTCAGGCGGGGCTTGTAGAGGGGCCCATCGTACCTTCACTGCAGCGTGCCCGGGGTTGGCGGAGCTGAGTGGGCCGAGCCCCTGCTTCCCTGGGTCTGACTGGTTGCTGGGCTGGGAGACCGAGTCATTCCTGTCATTTTCTGAGCCCGAAGTCAGATCCTGAAATCCAAATTGTAGCATTACTAGGATGTAAGGTCAAAACGGTGACATAGAAGTATTAAAGTAGAGCTCCCTCCTTCCCCCCACATAAACACACACATAGCTCTGCTGTGTTTTTTCAATTCTCACTGAGGATTTGTTTTTAATGATTTTAGAGAGAGAGGAAGGGAGAGATAGAGAGAAACATGTATGTAAGAGAAACATCAATCAGTTGCCTCCTGTACCCAACCTAGGTATGCGTCTTGACCAGGAATCAAACCCACTACTATTTGGTGTACAGAACAATGCTCCAACTAACTGAGCCACCCAGTCAAGACTAGCTCTGATATTTTAACCCAGCTTTATGTCCAAGTACATATAAGACTACTTCCTCCAGGAGAAGAATATGTATATACTGTCAGCCAATTGAGGACATTTTGAGGAGAGAAAAGGGTCATTATTAAGAATTATTCCACAAGAGAGGTATAGAACCAGCCTAGTCTTGGCAAACTGGGATCTCTGGTCAGGGTGTGGGTTCCTCCTGCCTGTGACAAAGTCCATCAGTTGGACTTGATAATGGGATTGAAATAGAGAGAGAGAGGAGCAGGTGTAGCAACTGTGGGAGGAGTAGGACATGAACAAGACGACAGGGTGTCAGCCGATGGAGGAAAAGTAGGCATGCATGTATGTATATGTGTGTATATTTATCTCTGTGTGTATGTGTGCATATGTGTGTGTGTTCTATATACAGCTGTATGTGTCTCTGTGTATATTTTGTGTACACATAGGTATATGAGTGTATATACTTGTATATGTATCTGTGTGGATGTGTTCTGTGTATGTATATTTAATGTATCGATACATGTGTGTATGTGTTTGTGGTTGTCTGTATGCTTATGTGCCCTTGGTGTGAGTGTTTCTGTGGGTACGTATGTGTGTTTATGTGTATTTGTGTGCATGTGTACATGTAGGTGTGCTGGGCAGGCTGAGGAAAATGGCACTAAGCCTGGTGGCTTCTAGGGGTGGCAGCTGAGGGGCTGGGGGTTGCAGTGTCCTGGAGACCACACACTGCTCAGCCTCAGACCCTCAGCTCCTTCCCTGTAGGATCAGTGTCAGTGCTCCTGCCTGGGGGGCGGTGCTCCCTAACAGGCTATGCTCAGGAAGTGGCTGGAGTACCCTGGCGTAATGAGTGCTTAATGGAATGCAGCGGCTGTTGTTAATAATCATCATTATTCTTTACAAACGTGCTTTGAGCAATATTTGCAATATACATGCTTTACATGCTTCACTAAGGGTTTGTGGATTTGTCCAGAGGAGATTGCTGTGCTTGGTTTGGGGCTGGAAGTGGCCTTGCAGGGGTTCTGCAGGTAGAAACCTGCTCAGGTAGAACCCACATGCCGCTCTGTTTTGTAAGCACAGCGCCCCCTCGTGGCTGCTCAGTGCACGGAAAGGGCGACGTTGAAAGCAGTCCTGTTCTGGCACATTCTGTCCAGGTGACTGTGGGGGATCATCCATGGGAGAGAACCTCACTTTCACTTTGTAAAACCAGGGATGGAAGGTGTCTACTTGCCAGAGTAGATGCTTAAAAAGTATGTCCCAGGTACAGACCTCGGGTTCTCCTCCAGGTGTTCTGGAGGTTTCGCCACCACACAGAGTCCTGGACCTGGGGGGTGACATGCCATGCAGACGTGTATGTGAACCTCAGAGTGGGACCCCAGCCTGGCAGTGTCATTTCCGGACCGTGAAGAGATGACAGGCTGAGAAGTGTTTGTTACCTGGATTGTCCCTGGAGGACCTGCCAAAGAGGTCTCTGAGGCTTTGGTGTCTGGGGGGGACCTCGCTGGGCCCTGGGGGTCTTCGCTTCGTGTGTGATCTGGAGAAAGCCCATCGCTGCTGCTGTCCTCGTCGAAGGCGAAGGCATCTGCTGGTTTGGAGAAGCTCACCTGGTTCCCTGGGGCCGGGAAATCCAACACCGGTCAGAGGCCCAAGCACCTCACAGGGCTTGCTGCACCTGCTCAGTGCCACCCATTAGGACAGCGCCGCCCCTTTAGGACTGTGTGCAGCTCAGGGTAATGGTGAAGGTCCTTTCTAAGTAGTTTCATTTCCATCTATTGACTCAAATGGGAACTTGTGTTTATAAAGGCCGGACGTTGGGCAGGGAAGAATGACTTGCGTTATTGGTTAAACCTTATTTTCAGGTTTGTCCATCTCTGAACATTTTCTGTGGGAACCCCTGATCTTTTGAAATGGAATTGGGGGGTGCTGAAGAAAAGAAAAGGCCTCCCCCAGCTCCCTCTTTCTCCCCCCCTTGCCCTCCCTCCCCCGCCTCGCCCCGGCAGGAGGCCATTGGAGCGAGCTGGGAGAGAAGGCCACCTCCCTGTCTCACAATGAGAGACATGACCGAGACAACAGTGGGCCATCTGCATCCTCTTCACATGTAACACACAACACAGCACCAATGTTTAGCAAGCTTCCTCACAGGCCGAGCTAGGACAGCTACTGAGGTTCAAGTCCAAATGTCAGAAGCAGCCCACGTCCCGGGGTGTCCCATCCCACCAGTGCATGTCTGTTTACAGAAGCATCAACGTGTCTCAGAAATGTTGGGGTGATCCTTACTTGTTTATGATTTGGATTTTCTTTTGACTCCTCCTACCTCTGGGTCTATTTGGGAAAATCTTACGGGCTCACATAGGCAGAGATGCCTCCTCTGCTGCCCACACACCTCTACGGGCACAGGCGCATTCGCTTGGGAAGAGGGTTTATCAAACCAGCGGCACTACAGCGACATCCTTACATGTCCCTTATGCTTCCTAATCGCTCAGTTTCATCTGGCTTACTATCCAACGGCATCGTCCCAAATGTGCCGGGGCCACCTTGCTCATCTGACCCGGACCCAGGCCAGCTCTCCCGAAGGAATTCAGTTTATCAGGAAGTTGCCAGGCCGGCCTTCTGCAATCGCGCTGCCGAGAACTTTTGACTCCTGCTCTGCGCAGATAAGGGAGAGGCGCTCTCACTGCAGACGGGGAAAGGCAGCGGGGAGCTGGAAGTAATGGAACAAATGCGGCTGGGGGCCTGTCATCGCCACCACTGCTGGCATCTGTCACGGCCCCTCACTCAGATGTCCCAGGGTCAAGTCAGGAAAGAGGCCAGACTGGGACAGGGCAGGTGGCAGCCCAGCCGCTGGCCTGTCCGTGGGGCGGCCCGCCGCCCTGCCTGGCACGGCGTGGGGCCCATACTGCTGCTCCGGGGAGCCTTCAGGGGAGTCATTATTGCTTTTCTATTTGGTTATAGAAGGAACCTCTATTCATCCCTAACATTCACACCGCAGGAAATGGCCACACCAATCCTTCTTCCTACAAAGAACTCATCTCCATGTCTAGATTTAATTCTATATGCACAGCAGGACGTGTAGGCACACATGTAAAATGCATGTCACCCAGACCTGCCTGGGAGAACCATCTGCTCAGAAACTTGTCTCCCCCCCCCTGCCCTCTACACGTGTCCTGAAGACCCTTCCCTGTGAGCATCGAGGTCTTCCTCATTAAAAATCACATTTTGTATCAGCTGCACAGTATCCCATTGTATTCACGGGAACTTTGATTCTTCACCTTTTATTTTCAAAAGTGCACTTTTTTAAAACTACAAAACATTTGAAATAATGGACAAGCACAGAGAGTAATAGAAAACACCTGCAGGTGTCACCTGAAATAAATACGCGCTTTCATTTTCTCGTGTTTGTAGCAGAGTTCTCCCAGGGGCATTCTTGGTGCTCAGGGGCCACTGCCCCCCTGTAGAACTCTGGTCTCAAACGCCCCCTCTCTCTTCTCAGAGCCCGGAAGTGGCTCCCAGCCTTCCCGTCCTGGCCTCTCACAGCGAACCCCACACTCCCCACAGGAGGCTGTGTTTGTCACTTTGGTGGGGTGTGAGAAAATGTCTCCACTCTTTTCTCAAGGGGCCCTCAGCCTGAGAGCTTCCCAGGAAGGCCCTGCCAGCTGCCTCGGGAATCAGCTTCTATACATGTCTTCACTTTAGAAACCATGTTTTCTTGGGAATTGCAAATACCTTCTAACACACGTGGAATTAGAGACTTTGTCCCCATTATAAAAGTTACATGTATGGTTGAGGCCAGGTGGGCCTGGGAGGCGGAGGGCGGGTGGGTGTTAAGCCTTCCCACCCCAGAAACCACAGAATTTCACTGGGATCTACCTGGCACCTCTCCTTCCCCCCTCCCTTTCCTTCTCCTCCCTCCTCCCTTCCTCCCCCCCAGCCAACACCATCCCCACCCTTAGAGAAGCCTCCTGAGGCTGTGCCCACCAGGGCCCCTTCTGAGAGCTTTACCTTCTCTCCATCCCACTCCCTCAGCCTGCAGGAATACGGATCTTCTGTGTGCTGTTTGGTACTTCAGATGACAGACTCCGCCCACCTCCGCCCCTGTCAGCTCACCCACATCTACCGTATCACATTGCCAATGTGTAGAGATGAGATGGAATTTAGCCACATTGTAAAGTTGTCCAAGTAGTGTCCCCCAAGGGTAGGAATGTTTTGAGAAAAGAGGAGGAAAGAACGGTTTCCCTTTTTAGCTTCCATCAACCTTGCTTTCCAAATGGAGGGATAGCAGATGGTAAGAGGAGGAGTTTGTATCAGTCATTCCCTAGATAGCGCAGCCATGGCAAAACAATCAGCTTTCATGAGGCCGTGTGGCGGGCAGTAAGTCAGAGCAGGGGCGCATTTTCTCATCTCTCTTTGGAGGGCCTGGCTAGGGCCAGGCCATCCCAGTGTTTAGAGACCTGCTGACTGTGGGCCCAGCCCACATTTCTCCTCTCTCTGCACAGCTGTTCTGAGGACATCCCCACATTCCACCACATGTTTTACTTGAGCTTTTGCTATTTGAGGGGCCAATGTGACTTCTTGATTGTGAGAGCGAAAAGCCTCCAGTATCTGGGAAGGTGCTCATGAGGGTTCCATTGGGTCTTGTCTCCGAAAGGGCCAGAGGGCTGGTTGCTACCAGTCAATCAGCATGCCCTTTGCATTCTAATATGTACATTCGGTGACCTAAGGCTGAGGCACTAGAATGACATGGAAAAGTCTACAAGTCAAGCACCTGGAATAAAGGAGTCAGTAACTGTCCCGTTTCCCCAATTCCTCAGTTACTCTCTTCTTTTCCAGCCTTCCCACCTCAGGAGAAATGGGGAGAAAGAGGAGCACACTCAGACACGGTAGGTAGAGGGAAGAGGCACGCTGAGGAGGTTATTCTTGCATTGCCATGGACACAGTGGACAATGTCAGGGACCAGACTGGGGAACGTGGTGGGCAGAGGAAGGAGGGAGGGAGCAGTCGGGTCTCCTGGAGTGACTGTCAGCTGTGGACAGGCCACAACAGGGGGGGCGGCGGCAATAATGGGGAGCATGGAAGGGAAGTGACAGGCAGTGATTAGCAGAATCCAGGTGGGAAGGGAGAGGAAGACATGCTCCCAGCTGGGGGAGAGGTTTATCTGGTGACCAGTCCCTGGAGAGGAATGGCTTCTACATGTCTGCTTCACCAAGTGACCATGATCACTGAAAAGGTCCCTCTGCTTACAGGTGAATTCACAGCAACTACAGGCAGGTACACCCCAATGAAAAATCAGGGTGAAGGCAAGGCCCCAAACATGGCTCCTGTCTGGTATCTAAAGAGCAGCATGTGCCCGCTCAGAATATGCCTCCAGACACGTGAGGACCACTCAGAGGCTGTCCAGGTCAAAAGATCTGCATTGGCCCCTGCTCATCACCCCCCTCCCCGCCCCCCCTCAAGTAGATGAAGTTGTGATGCCAGGGCAGACCATGAGAGAAAGGGCACAGAAATCCCCCCTCCCCCCACTACACCCTCAGCTCAGGCTCTGTGGATGGAGAAAACCTCCACAGCGGAGGGGTCATGAACACAGGGCTGACTGCCCCCCGAGACAGTGCATGAGGGGCTCGGTGTGGTCAGTAGGCAGTGGGGCTCTGCAGTCAAACAGACTCCGTTTGCTTCTCCGTTCCACCACTGCAGTGGCAAAGTGACGGTTGGCAGTTATTTGACCCGGCGGAGTCTCTGCTTCCCCATCTATAAAATGGGAATGATAACGACAGCTATCTTTCAGGGTTTGAGGGTGAAAATGACATGTTGTGCATTATTTGCATCGTCCCGCAAGTGCTCAGTGGTTTGCAGCTGTTGTTGTTGGTGTTGTTTTTGTTAGGCGTCTCTCTCTCATCTCAATTTTACTATCATCCAAACAAGAGACCACCCAGGAGGCAGTGTCCCTGCGGCCAGCTTTGCAAGGGTCAGCACAGCTCCAGAGAGAGCGGTGTGTCCCAGTGGCACAGTCACGCTGGGAAGGCAGAGCCTTCCCCGGAGCAGGGTGTCGCAGGAAGGGGTGTCACAGGCCAGATTCCTGTGGAGCGGGACCGAGGTCGGCTTATCTGGCTGCCTCAGGAACAACCAGGTCTATCAGCGTCCTGTTGCTACCCTGGGCCTCCGCTGCCCGGCTCCAGAGGGCTGTGCACTGGCTATTGTCCCTGGACACGCTGGGGGCCGTGATGACAAGGACCTGCTTTGGGAAGCCCTGATATCACCCCCCAGCTATGCCCTGGGGCTGGCTCTGGGCGCTGGCCCCTAGGGATCTTGGCCTGGTGGCTCTTAGCTCTCCCTCCCCCTCTTGGAAGTGATTAGATGAATGAGTCAGTTGTTCTTTCCTTCACATAAACATTTAAAATTCCAAGATTAGAGGGAGATAATTGGAGTCCAAGTTACCTTTCTGCCGGCCCACAGGAGGGCTGAGACCACTCGGTGGAATGTGAAAATGGGCCCAGCTTCTTATCTCAGGCACTGCCAGAGCTATTTTAATTCCCGGGCAGGCCATCTCCTAACCTCCTCCTGAAAGGAGTTCCAGCCAAGTCCATTTCCCCAGGGAGGAGGCTAGGACTCAGAGGTAGA